CGGCGCCGCTAGGGCGCGTGCGAGCGCTGTTCCAAAACCTTCCCCGCGGGCCACCCCTTGCGGGGATTGCAAGAGGGCGGAAAGACGAGGGAGGGCGGGGAGGGGAGCAGGCAGGGGAGGGAAGGGAGGAGGAGGGTGGGGAGGCAATCTGTCCACCCTGACACCGCGACTGCGGCGCAAAGCATTGCGCGCTGCTATCCGTTGGCCTGCGGCCGCCATCATTCGCGCGCGCAGAACTAACCTCTGCTTCACTGGGTACGCGGCAATGTGCATCGCCATTCAAACCAACGCCCTGCGGGCGATCCCCCGCGGGGATGATAGGAAGAAGCGGGATACCAGGAGGGGGGCCAAGAGGGAAGAGGAAGAGGCAGGGGGTCAACTTGTTCACCTTGAAGCGCCGCGCCGCTATCCGATAGCCTACGGCCACCATCACTCGCGCGCGCAACGCGCGCCCCTGCTTCAACGGGTACGCGGCGACGTGCATCGCCGGGCCCTGCGGGCGTTCACTTCCATACCTTGCCGTCTCCCTTCGGGCCGGCCCGCGGGCGCGGGCGCCCGCGCGCCGGGGCCGGGGGCGGCGGCGGCGGCGCCGCCGGCGCCGCCTGCCCACCTGCAGGCTGGCTCGCGTGGCCCTGCGGCCCCTGCCCGCGCCCCAGCCGCCGCGGCCTGCGCCGTCGCCAGCCTGCCTTGCCCTGTTGCTCTGCTCCTTGACGTCGCTGCGCAAGGCGTGGTCGACCTTCTCGAAGCTGGCGTCCGGATCCACAGAGGGATCCATGTCCTCGATCTGCGTGCCGAGGCGGAGTCTTGGCGGTCGCACTCGTACGCAGCCGCGACGCCGAGCTCCTGCGCCATATGGCACAGGTCGAAGAAGCGCCTGAGCAACCGCTTGAAAGTGACGGCCTCGCTGTTGAGGTCCGCCTGGAGCGAGAGCTGGGTCAGCGCCCTGGTCCACCAGCAGCTGGTGAAGTGGGCGAACGATTGGAACGGCTTGCCCTTCTGCGGCGGGCGCAGAGTAGCGTCCGACGTCCTCTTCAGCGGCTCGAAGTCTTTCTGCAGCTCGCCGGTGACCCACGGGAGCCGCCCGCGGCTGGCCTTGCGGCGGCTCCGCCGGAGCAGCCGCTGAAGGGGAGCCGACTGCGGCAGGTGCTCAACCGGCAAGCCGTTGAGCCCGTAGCGCTTCAACCCTTGCACAAGTTCACCCAAGCGGAGCCATTGTCGTCCGAGTCGGATGACACCGAGCGGTCCCCGCGCTGCCTGGCGGCGACGGCCCTCGCCCTGTGGGCGATGGCCCGGAATGTGGCGACGGACTCCGCCTGGAAGTCGGCGCCTGCTGCGGCAGCGCTCGGGGCACCGTGACCTTTCGAGAGGCCACGGGCGCGTTGTTCGGGACACGCATGTCCAACATGGTTTTAGATGGCCCAGGGAATCATCCTGGAGCCTTCTTAGTAGCCTCCTGGGCCGCCTCGAAGCCCTGGAAACGTCAAAACACATTGGTTCCTGTTGGTGTTCGCATTCTTCGTCTCCGGTCTTCAGAGCGTCAACACGATCGCCCCAAAATGGCCCGAGAGTCCCCCAAGAAGGACCCAAGATGCCCCAATGACGGCCACAAGGGCCCAAAAGGCGCCCCCACGACGGCCCAAGAGGCCTCCAAGACTGCTCGAGATGGCTCCAAGAGGACCCCCAAGGTAGCGACAATATGCAAAATTCACTCATGTTCTGTGGTTGTTCCAAAGATTTGATCCGTCTCGCTTCCAACGCTCCAAGACGGCCGAAGAGGTTGGTATAAACGCTCCGAGACGGCCCAAGAGACTCTCAGCAGCGCTCAAAGACGACCCAAGAGAGGTTCAAGACGGCCAAAGAGACCCTCAAGACGGCCCAAGACGCCCCAAGAGTACCCCAAGAGGGGCCAAGGAGGGGGAGCAAGAATTGACATCTCCAGCCCTCCGCCCCAAGAGGCCCCAAGAGGCTTCAGAGCGGCCCCAAAGAGGTTTCAAAGCTGCCTCCAAAAGGCTTCCGAGAAGATTGAAAAGAAACTCAAAAAAGTGCTCATGAGGACTCCAGCCCACGAGGCGACACAACGCGAAACGCCCAGCGAAACACACCGCGAAACACAATACGAAACGCACACGAAACGCGCCGCGGAAAAAAAAATGACGCCCGACGCTCCGTGAAACACCACCGCGAAACACCCGATGAAACACTCCACGAAACGTCCCACGAAACATTTCACGGAACACCTCACGAAACATCCGCCGAGACACACCGAAACACCCCGCGAAACACCCAATGAACACCCCACGAAACATCCCACGAAAGAGCGCACGAAACACCCGCTGAATCAAAGCCGAATCCAAGAGGTTTCCGAGAGGCCTCCCAAGAGAAGATGACCCAAGTTGGTCCCAAGACGCCCAACAGGCGCCCAAGACGCCCCAGGAGGGCTCCAAGAGGGGCCCCAGAGGGCCCGAAGAGACAACAATCATTGATGCTACATTGGTTGTTCAAGTTTCCGACTGCCCTGGACGGCCCAAGAGGCCTCCAAGATCGCCCCAAGTCAGCACAAAAGGCTCCCAGGACGGCCCCAAGACGGCCCACGAGGATCCAAGAGGCCTCCCCGAGGGCGCTCCCATGAGGGCTTCAAGAGGAAGAAACCCGAACCGACATATCGAGACTTCCCCGATAGTTGGCCCCCGAGACCGCCAGCAGGCCCCCAAGAAGCCCTCCAGAGGCCCCCAGAAGCCCGAAAGGATGCCCCACAGGGCCCCCAAGCGGCCCAGGAGGTCCCAAAAATACCGCCAAGAGGCCCACGAGAGACTCCACGGAAGCCGTCTGAAGAGGAAGAGAAGGAAAAGAGGAGGAAAAGCGAGATCATGAGAGCATGGGCATGACAGCAGGAGAATGATAGCAGGATAGCACCAGCATGGGGAACGAGGGCCAGGCAGGAGGGAGAGAGAGGTGGAGGACTTACTTTTCACTACCACCACCCTCGGCCAAAGGGCGGCTGACCTGCGGTAGTGCTCTGCTGCGCGAGGCTCTGTCGCGGGAGCTCGCTGATGTGTTGCAACTGTGTGCCACAACGCCCGCCAGAGGACAAACAGAAAGGCTATAGGTCAGCCGTCCCCTAGAAAACAACTGCTGGGAGGTCTTCGCAAGAACGACTGACAACTGAGGGCTACTGAGCCCGAGCTGGATCAGGCTGGGCCGAGCCCGGGATGAAGCCAGATGGAACGGGATTCAGCGGAATGGCAAGAGTTCAACCACGGATGCACCAGCGCCGCTGCTGAATTGTAACCCATCCCCAGGAGTTGCATCCCAGTCTGGGTTGGCAGTCCCTGGCCGAGTGGTGGCAAGCGAAAGGTAGGCCCAGGGGAAAGGCGAGCGGTACTTCAGAATCGCTTCGGCCGAGCCGTGGTCAGGCGGGTTGGTACTGCTTGGGCCCGGTGTGGAAGCATCTTCCCTCAAGTGAATCCTGCAGCTCGTACTACATCAGCCAAGATTAACAGCCGATCCGCGTTGACTCTGCCAGACAAGATCTCCAAGCGTCGCGGAGACACACGACGGGCGTTTCGTCGCTCGGCCTCCAGAAGCTGTCCTTGGGCAACAGATAGATCAAGCAACAATCCGAAACAGAAACCCGTCACAAGACTACAGTCGGAACATATCGAAGGACACCCGAGTGGACGCAAGTCCCCTCCGAGAGCAACCCGTGCTTCAGACATGAAAAGGATGTGAAACGCGATCCGCCACCGTGCCCCCTCGCGCGTGTTGACGTGGTGGAATGCCCGATGCTGTCTGGCATGGCTTTCTGCATGCACCGCACCCCTCTGCCGAGGCTTCCCGAGCGGCCCGACGCCTTCCTGGGGCTCTCTAAAGCACTCCGAGGCTTCCTCAGGGGTCCAAGAAGGCCACCGAGGACGCCAAGACAGCACAGCACTGGCTCAAGACGCACCCAAGAGCCCCTATAGATGAAGCTATCTAGAAATATATCTTTAGATTACTGCACTCTTCGGTTGAAGATCAGTCCGTCTGCGGTCCCCGAGGGCCAGCCCCAAAAAGCCCACTGAGAGCCCCAGGAAGCCCCTCGACAACCCCAAGAAAGCCCCAAGGCCCGGAGGAACACCAAAACACAATAAGAGGACCCCCAGACGGCCAGAGGGTGCCGCAAGACGGCCCCACGACGGCCCCGAGAGACCACCCAGACAGTCAGGAGTGCCTCAAGACGGCCCCAAGACGGGCAGAGGGGGCCCCAAGAGACCCCCGAGACTGCCCCACAGGAGCCCAGGGCAGCCCCGAGACGGGCCACATGGGGCTCCTCAAGAAGAAGAGGACGGGCCTGTTTTCCACAACCACCACCACCACCACCTTAAGTTGGAGGGAAAAAGGAGGAGGACGAGGAGGAGGAGGACAAAGAGGAGGAGGAGGAGGAGGAGGAGGAGGAGGAGGAGGAGGGAGGAGGAGCAGGAGGAGGAGGAGGAGGAGGGGAGGACCCCCTCCCCCTCCAACTTGTGGTGGTGGTGGTGGTGGTGGAAAACAGGCCCAGCAGAAGCGACGAGGGGTGTCACACGCGACGGCCCTTCTGGGCGGTGCTCGAAGGGTCGCCACACAGAGTGCTTCGCAGGCACGGTGACGGATTCGCCACAGGCAGTGGTGGGCCTTGTTTCCCACCGCCACCACCATCAGTAGGAGGGGGAGGGGGTCCTCCTCCTCCCCTCCCCCTCCTCCTCCTCGCCCTCCTCCTCGCCCTCCACCTCCTCCTCCCTCCTCCTCCTCCTCCTCCTCCTCCTCGCCCTCCACCTCCTTCCCCCCGCCAACGTATGGTGGTGGTGGTGGAAAACAAGCCCATCAGGCAGCTGGACGGACAGGGCACCAGGAAGCACCTGGTTCTGCAGGGTCGACCAAGTAATCAGACCCAACTGTGGGATAGAGGGTCCCTAGCCCAAGTCGTGATCACATGGAGACGTTGGAGGTCCGGGTGCAGTCCTGGTTGCGCTCTCTTCCTCGTCCTAGCTGCTGCACGACTCTGGAGTGCTGGCAGGGATGTAGTTCCCGAAGACATCGAAGATGTACGATATCTTCAGGCCGTGGCCGCGCTCGAGCAACCATTCGTACGCGCTGTGCTCCTCCCAGACCCTCAACCTGTGTAAAGACAGAAAATAGCACTCACCCCTGCTGCTCCCCCTCCCTCATAAGCAATCCATCCTCCTCAGCCTCCTCTCCTCCTCATCCATCCTCTGTCCTCATAAATAACTCCACCCTGTCGCATCCCTGGGCGTGTCGGCAGGCCAAGCCGGGCGTTTCGCCCAAGACTTTCTCGCCATCTATGCTCCTGAAGTTTTCAAAATTTGCAACATGTTCAAGGATGGATGGCGGCCCGATTTTTCAATGTGGCTCTCGCTTTAGCACCGCGCAAATTTGTTGTGAAAGCTTCAGGAATGGAGGGCGGCTCCTTTTCAAAATGTGGCTCTCGCCTCAGCGCCGTGCACAGTCGTAAAAAATGCAGCGGCTTCAAGGATGAAGGGCGGTTCCTTTTCAAAATATGGCTCTTGCCTCAGCGCCGCGCATGCTCGTCTTAAATGTTTGCGGTAGGTTTGAGGAGTCGTGTGGCTGAAATATCAGGAATGGCATTCTGGCACGATTTAGGACTGTCAGGACGCAACCGTCACGTAGATTCACGGCGTTGAAGTCCCAGGAAAGGCGTTCAGGCGCTATTTAAAACTGTCAGGACGCAACAGTCACGTCGATTCGCGGCGTTGAAGTCCCTAGAATGGGGTTTTGACACGATTGAGGATCCTCAGACGGTTATATCCAATGGGGCAATTCCCGATATTGAAATACATTCTTGAATAGACCTAAAAGGAGGAACGTGGGGGATTGTGTGCTGAAGCATCGTTGATGCTCCTTGGGTTTACAGTGGTCCTCCTCCACCACATCTTCATCCACCACATCACCATCCTCCTCCTCCTCCTCCTCCTCCTCCTCCTCATCATCATCATCATCATCATCATCACCACAACCACCACCACCACCACCACCATCATCATCATCATCATCATCATCATCATCATCATCATCATCGTCAGCGTCAGCATCATCATCATCAGCATATGCATCATCAACATCATCAGCATCATCATCATCATCATCATCATCATTATCATCAGCATCACCATCGTCGTCATCATCATCATCAGCATCAGCATCATCATCATCATCATCATCATCATCATCACCGACATCATCACCAGCATCGTCATCAGCATCTGCATCCTCATCATCAGCATCATCCTGGCCCTCATCATCATCAGCATCTGCATCGTCATCATCACCATCGTCATCATCATAATCATCATCGCCAGCATCATCAGCATCATCATCATCATAATCATCATCATCAGCATCATCAGCTTCAGCATCATCATCACCAGCATCATCATCCTCAGAATCATCGTCATCATCATCAGCATCATCATCAGCATCAGAATCAGAACTAGCATCATCAACATAAACATTATTATCATCCTCGTCCTCATCCTTATCCTCATCATCATCCTCCTCAGCATCATCAGCAGCATCAGCATCATCAGAATCATCATTATCATCGTCGTCATCGACATCGCCATGATCGTCAGCAGCACACCGTCCGAATCATCATCGCCACCATTTGCAACCACTGCATCATCGTCGTCATCGTCGCCATCAACCTTACCCTCACCACTATCATCAAAATCCTCGCCGTCGTCGTCATGATCGTCACAATCGGTACCGTCCGAATCCACATTGTCATCATCATCATCATCATCAGCAGCAGCACCACCACCATCATCATCAGTACCCTCATCACCAGCATCGTCGTCATCGTCATCACCATGGTCGTAAGCATCAACATCATCGTCATCGCCATCGTCAGCATCATCATCACCATCACCATCATCATCAGCATCAGCAGCATCATCAGCATCCTCATCAGCATCATCATTACCATCACCACACCGCTGAAATGTCAAACGTCAGCATAAACGGCATCATAATCGCCGTCAACAACAGCGCCATCGTACAGTCATCACCAACATCACCAAAATCCGTACCGCCACCACAACCAACAACATCGTCATCATCGTCATCATCGGCACCAACAGCATCAGCATCAGCATCATCATCGTCATTAGCATCATCATCAAAAATCATCATCACCATCGTCCTCGGCATCGTCATTGTCATCATCATCATCAACATCATCATCAGCATCCTCATCATCATCATCCCCAGCATCGTCATCATCAGAATTGCCGTTATGATCATCAGAATCATCAGCCCCATCAGCATCTGCCGTTGCCACCACCACGAAAAGATTAAGAACATGCGTCATCGTCCACATCAGATTCATCGTCCTCATCTTCATCCGCATCACCAGCCTCAGCACCAGAATCATCATCATCATCATCATCATCATCATCATCATCATCATCAGCATCATCATCATCATCATCATCATCAGTACCAGCATCATCGTGGACGTCGTTGTCATTACCAATGTCACCATCATCATCGACAACCACAACAACCACACCAGCAACTACATCATCATTATCAGCAGCATCATAATCATCATCACTCAGATCATCAGCATCATCTTCAGCATCGTCATCAGTATCGTCATCTGCATTGTCACCATCATCATCATCATCATCAGCATCATCAGCATCATCATCATCAGCATCATCATCATCAACATCATCATCATCATCATCACCAACACTATCAGCATCACAATCACCAGCACCATCCGCATCAGCATCAGCATCAACATCCTCATCATCATCATCAGCATCATCATCATCATCATCATCATCATCATCATCATCACCAACATCAGCATCCCTCCTCTGGCCTCCTTCATCAATCCTACCTCCTCCTCATCATCAGCAGCAGCAACATCCTCGTCGTCCTTCTCTGGCCTCCCCATCCTCCCACCCCGTCTTTCTCCTCCTCCTCCTGCGCCTCCGCCTCCTCTTTCTCCTCTTCCCCTCCTCCTCCCTCCTCCTTCCCCTTCATCCTGTTCCTCATCCTTGTCCTCCTCCTCCTCCTTCTCTTCCCTCCGCCGAGGCCGACGCCAAGACCTCCTACCTCCTACTCCTCATACGTCCGCCTTCGCCCTCCTCCCTCCGTCGGTCTCCTCCAACGCCTCGCCCTTGCTCCTCCCTCCTCCGACGACGGCATGTTGACCCGACCTCCAGGCGACCAAGAACGCATGGCCCATGTTGTCAGAGGTGCCGAGAGGTCGGGGCAAAATGCGACCCCCAAAGCAGTGCAGGGGGGCCGTCCCAGCGAGAACCCTGGGAGGGAATGAAGACAGTGGTGAGCCCCCATGTTGGCCAAATAAACACATCACGTCCAAAAACCTTGAACAGCTTTGGAGCCCAGGGGAACCCTCCAATCTCGGTCCCCGGGAACGCCGAGGCTGAAGACCGCCGACAACCGACCAAGCCTCCCGAAGCCATGAACCTCGGAGACCCAGAAACCTTCGAAAATCTTACAGACGGGAAACAGCTCACACTCACATGCTTGAGGGGCAACGATAGGGGGGGGGGCGGGGGGCACTGGCGCATGGGGGGAAATATCGACCTGGAATAGCGATACGTCGCCGATAGATCGGCGATAGGCCCCCGATAGCAAATCTGCACGTTCCTGGGCGGGGTGGGGCTATCAGACCCCAATCGGCGATCAATGGGCGGTTGGGGGTCGATGCATCCCCCCCTGAGCCTCTCCCCCGATCGTTGCCCCTGAAATGCCACTCCCACCTTGGGTGGCAACTCATGGGAGCCTCCCATACCACCTTGTTGACTCTTGCGAGTCAACGCTAATCAACGCTGATCGACCCCAAATCGACGCTCATCGACGCAAAATCGGCTCTATCCCATCGATTACCCGACGCTGATCGACTCTATGCACTGCAAAGACGGAATTAGGGAAACAAAAAAGGCATAAAAATAACAACTCGGACGTCCGCGCGGATTTCTCGGATCCGCGCTGGACCCCCCTCCCTGGCGCGCGGAGCGCGCCAGGGGCGGCGCCGGAAGCGCCGCCGGGGGGCTCCAGCGCCGATCCGAGAAATCCGCGCGGACCTCCGAGTTTTTATGTTTCTGTCACTTGCTGCTCCCCTATCTATGCACTCCAAAGACGGAATGGCGAGGATATTTGGGGGGCGGAAAGATACGGATACGTGTTGTCCCTGGACCTCTCTTGGGGTGCGTTCTGACCAGAATTTCGAGGCGAATCCAGCGGTGACAACGAGGATTCCCCAGGAGGGCCAGGAAAGGCCGAAAACGAAGGGGGACAACACGTATCCGTATCTTTTTCTCCCCTGAGATATACAAAGCTCCCAGGATTTGCTACCGAGCCCGCCTGTAGTTGGAGTTGTCCACGAAGCAGCAGCCGTACGCCTGCGACAGCCGCAGGACGAACACCCGGGCGGACGTGGGCCCCTGCGAGAAGCGGCACTCGTCGATCACGGGGCACGGCACGATCCTGTCCTGGGGGCATCGAGAATGGGACGCATGAGAACATACGTACGGCAGGTTCGTGTCGTGCCGACCCCAGCGTTGGTTTTTGACACCGCAGGGATCGTTCAACCTTGAACGATCGGCCGCTGCCGCAACGTCCGATCGTTCAACGTCGATCGACTCTGGGTCGCCAGCGGCGTTCAACCTTGAACGCCCACGCTGGGGTCGCCGCTGGTCGACACGACCCAAACCTACCGTAGGGGAACGAACAATGACATAGACATAGAAACTCGGAGGTCCGCGCGGATTTCTCGGATCCGCGCTGGAGCCCCCTGGCGGCGCCTCTGGCGCCGCCCCTGGCGCGCTCCGCGCGCCAGGGAGGGGGGTCCAGCGCCGATCCGAGAAATCCGCGCGGACCTCCGGGTGTTTATGTTTATGTAATTTTTCGTTCCCCTAATACGGCAGGTTCGTGCCGTGCCGGCTTTTGCTCTGGTCTCTGACAC